CTGTGGTCATCAAAACTGGACCAAGAGACAGTCTGGACCAAAGTGTCTTACCGTGTGTCTGTAGGGCTTGGTCTAAGACTGAATTCTGGGGGCTCATCCTTGGACCAGTCAGTCTTCACAGAAAGACAGCTGGGTTCTGGAGACTCTGCTCTCAGTCTCGAGAACACACGTCTACAAACACAAACTTGTTTATATTAGTGCTGGTCAACATTAACATTTGTAAAGGAGAACAACCCCATGACCCCCTGTGATTTATCACACAGTTATGAACAACATTCACCAATGAGTTACAGAGTGACAAAAAATAGAGGCTTTTCCATGGACTGGAAAAAAATAGTTTCCTTAACTATGTGTTAAATCCACACAGATGTTCTCTCATACACGTTTCGGCAGTAATACAAACATTAATATATAATTAAATGTATATGTTAGGGCTGTGAAAAGTTTCGTGTTATCATGGATTTACCTATTTTTGTGATTAATCTAATTGTTCTGGGCCGTACAATATATCCATGCAGTCCCCCTAACAGCCCCTAGGAATAAGGTTTATATATATAAATATTATAAATTTAACCCCACCTGGTGGGTGGGACAAGGAATATAAATGGGCTGTTGAGAGAAGTGGAGTGTTGAGTTGGCTGGTGCAGAGACAACACTGATGAGGCAAGATGGCGGCGCGTCCGTGCGGCGTTCACGGGTGCAGCGGCTCGTAGCTCTCTAACTTGGTGCTTGTTTTTACTGTATATAGTACCTTTTTGAGTGAATTTTTTTATTTGTGTGACGCCGTCACCCAATACAGTCGCCAGAACTTAATCGACCTGGGTTTTAGAAACAATCTCTGTGTTACTGGCGATTACCAGAGAACACACAACATACCAGAGGACATAGCGAGACCACCGGGGTCTCCGTAGATGGTCAGCCCGCCCAGCAGGCGGAAAAGGCGGCGGAGAGAGAGGAAGCAGAAGCGGGGATGCCGGTCGGGCTCAGATGCGAGGCTACGTAAACAACCACATCGGCCAGCACTACCGAGCCTCTTCCTCTCCAACGCCAGATCCATCACCCACAAAATGGGCCGCTCTACTCATCAGCTCATCATTAAAGCTCTGATATTTACAATTATTCATTCAGACTAACAGAGGCCCGACTGCATGTTGATAAACCGTTTTCATTTGGAAGCTCTTCCTCAGGAAGACTCCCCCGACTGACTACTTTGAACATTAATTAAGTGTCACACATTTTGTTTTCATGCGTTCTTGAACTTACACACCCATAATTCCTGGCTGTCACTCACTTCATATTTCAAAAGTGTTGCATCGTACCGTCGTCTCATCGGCCAATCATTGTTCCATCATTTCTTCCAGTATGCTGTCCCTTTCTAGCCGGTGCACTTGTTTTACTCAGCTCATCTTCTCGGCCCTGTGTCATCCATCTTTCACCCTAACTACCAAGGTCTTGACTACAGGCAGTAACAGTTATAATTCTGAACCTAATAAATAAATAAAAAATCGTGCATTTCTCTAAATGGAATAGGAATATCACTAGAAAGGCACATTTTTTGAAAAACCTTATGTAAAAAAAAGGAAAAAAATAGGGATGTCCGATAATATCGCATATTTTTTTTCCTGCCCGATATTAACATATTATGTAATATCTGTTAGAATCGTTATTGGTTTTTCCTCTGGCAATGAAAACCCGACAATGCAATGCCAAATGATGTGAGTGCTAAAAATGGTTTTGGGGATAAACGGCTGTATATCAAAGCAAAGGTCACTAGATGGCAGCATTGCAGCTCATTTAATTAATTTCATATTCATACAGTAGTTTGTACAGATAAATAAATAAATATTAGCAGGCCTATATCGGTATCGATTGATATCAGAATCGGAAATTAAGTGTTTTGACAATATCAGCATATCGGCAAAGAAGTTAATATCGGACTTCCCTAAAAAAAAATTTTTTATGTCATCAATATCCTACTGTAGTCCTCCCACGGCCTAAGACATAAAAATGTCATAAAGAACTAATGTCATAAAAATGACATTAGTTTAATCTCTTTATTGAGAAAATGCCCAATTGCCAGCATAATAAAAGTCAAAGAGCGAGTCTGCACTCGGTTTTATTTTTATTGGCTTTTGTTGGCTTTTTGAGTGCACTATGGGTAAACAGAACCACCACCCCTCCCCTACACCTGACCCTACAGTCCAACAGCCATGATGGTCATTAAAAATCTCGCTCTCTTAGGGCTAATAATATTCATCAAAACTAAGAACAAGTAAACTAATCATTTTTATCATCTAAGAAAACAAATGGTCGTACAGTTGTCTTTGAATCATGAGTTAGTCTGGTATAACACAACAAATCTGAATTAATGAGATCCACTCGCAGCTTGTTTTACATTTCTTTACTTTTTTCACCCCATTTAAATAAATTTAAATGGTTGTTTGTTTAAAAAAAAAACTCAAATTTTACCTGTATGATTTATACATTGTATCATGCTACGAGCTGATCATATTTGTGGAACACCACTTCCTCCCTGTGTGTACCGACTCTAAACTTCACAGATTTTGAATTGACTTTCTAATTATATTTCCACTTATATTTCAACAGAGGAACCTCTGACTGGGCTCTTTGTGCTAAGTTTGAGAAAGCCCTCCAATATGAACGCTGGTTCTGAAATAGTCCACAGAGCTTGTTATAACTACGGCACCAACTGTCCAGACTGGATCCCAGAGATTTATGGTCTTCCAATAAAATAACTTTCACAGCTTCCAACAACCGTACCCTCGTGGTCACTGTCATACACAATAAAACAGCCCGCAGCAGTCGGAAAATTAGGACGAATTATATCCACCCTTCTGTATGGCAATTATCTTTATGCATTTACTTGGGAATGGTCCAGGATACGAGTCCGATGTAATATGCATCCGCCTTAATGCCAGCTGGAGTGGTGTCTGTGTTCTCAGGGACATTGGACGTGAAAGCGAACCTCCGCGGCTGCTGTTAGCGCATCGATACACCAATACATTATTCACTGTGAGGATATTCACTGTGTGAAGCAGGTGTGTGAATTCCTACAATGGCCATTAAAGTGCCATTTAAAATCACTTGATAAAGAACCACCTCTGAGCCGTGCCCCAGATGTTGGCAAAACCTCAACTATAGTTCTATGAGATTATGCAGATTTTTTTTCCCCCCTTGAATCCCCCAAAAAAAGGTCCAATATTTGATGATAGCCACCATTCGGCGCTCGGTCCATTAGACTGCAGCGGCACCAAGGTAGCAACAAACTGGATAACAACACATTCAAAAGAAAAGCAAATTGATTTTACCATCCGTAATCCTTTGTAAACCTTAAACCTTGGAGGTAAATGGACTAGCGTGAGTTTTATCATTATCTGGGAATAAGCACGGGCTTAATGGTGACTTACAGGGATTAAAGTGAGGAGATTACTGGTGTATGACCAAGGGGGAAATAGTCTGGTGCATCACAGCATGGTACGCAGGGGGGCTGAACTGCAGACAGGAAAGCTCTGCAGAGAGTCATCAACACAGCCCAGAAGATCACTGGCTGCTCTCTGCCCAGCCTGGAGGACATTGCCAACTCCCGCTACCTCAGCAGAGCTAGCAACATCATAAAGGACCCGTCCCACCCCAGTAACTCTCTGTTCGACATGTTACCGTCAGGCAGACGGTACAGGTCACACAAAACCAGGACAAACAGACTCAGAGACACCACACCCCAGAAGATCCCGGGCTGCTCTCTGCCCAGCCTGGAGGACATTGCCAACTCCCGCTACCTCAGCAGAGCTAGCAACATCATAAAGGACCCGTCCCACCCCAGTAACTCTCTGTTCGACATGTTACCGTCAGACAGACGGTACAGGTCACACAAAACCAGGACAAACAGACTCAGAGATAGCTTCTTCTCGAAAGCTATCTCAGCAGTAAACAATAGAAACAAAACCAGTTAAAATAGTCCACACAATTTCACACTTTACTGATCATATTGATCACTGTGCAATAAACATACAACTATATGCAATAACTAACTACACCAAAGATATGTTGTTATATGTTTGATATACTGTTTTCTTCTACTCTTTTTTTGCACCAAGTGAGTAGCGCTCAAATCTCGTTGTACACTGTACAAGGACAATAAAGGCTATTCTATTCTATTCTAACATGAATGTATTGACAGGGATTTGTTTTGAGTTTGCTTTGTTGAAAATTATGAAATATTGAAATATTGTTTTTTTTTTCTTTTCTTTGTCACTGTGCACCTTGACAGGAAGTGAAATAAAATCACACTACACACTTGTTTGTGACTTTGACATTATTTTTGTTCTAATTTAACATGTGAAGAAAAGAACCCTGTTACAGTATGTGTCTGCTGTGGTCATCAAAACTGGACCAGGAGACAGTCTGGACCAAAGTGTCTTACCGTGTGTCTAAGACTGAATTCTGGGGGCTCATCCTTGGACCAGTAAGTCTTCACAGAGAGACAGCTGGGTTCCGTACTCACAGAACCACTCATATGCAGTCAGTCAAGTCAGTCTGAGTGGATATAAAACTGACTGTTACCTCAGGAAAAAGAAAATCTTTATTTTTTCCGTCGTCATATTAACGTCTGATCGACAGTTCATTTCCGCGATCGAAAATAAAACACGGTTACTGACTGACAGCTGAATGATCATAATATAAAACATCAACACGTTTATACCATGACGGTGACACGATGGCTCTATCATATTGGATCTGAATTCACTGAAAACTCACCTCTGTCCTGTCATTGTTCTGCGCAGTCAAAATTGAGTCCGAGAAAAGATTCTAAATACTTTCACTTTCGAAACTGTTCAAGGTCGGAGACGAGAGAGAGGAGGAGTGAGAGATATTTTTTAAAATTATTTTAAAACGTTATTCTTACTTTGGTTCCAATCATTCATTTAATTCTGTGTCTTGCCTGCTTTTTCTTAACTTCTTATACATCTTATATTTTAAACTTTTTCTTTAAACCACAAGAATTACTTCCGCTTTGATATAACGTGGTGTAACGTCGTAAAACTACTCCTTTTTTAACATATTATATTTTGACGGTTGGGTAATAAAAAGTTTTTGCTGTGTTACAATGTTCTGCGTTTTCTAACGGATCTTGGGTGCGTGGAACGCACCACGTAGTAGCGCACATGCGCACTGTGTTCTTTTCCGTATGGTTGAAACCGAGCGCCTAATAGAAGTGTGGTTTGGAGTACACGGTTTTGGAGTACACGGTGGCCAACAACAGTGCTGATATAGAAATCGCTATCTAATAAAATAAAAGCTGCCTCTGTCTTATTCTACCGCTCCGCTATACAATCAACTAATGGCTGCTAGCGGTGCTAACTGCAACATAAACTCCAGATTCAGTTCCTTTCTGAGGGAGCAGCTGTCACCTAAACTCACATGATCATTATCACTTTAATTATTAATCCTTCAGTTTCAGTCATTTCTCCTTCAGTAACAGTATATATTAGATTTCTTGGAGATACTCAGTAGTTTTGAACATTTATTCATGTTCGTTTTAGATGTCAGATGTGCTTCACATTAACACGCTGTCCTTTACTTTTTACGTACTCAGGCGCCCTCTTCTGGCTGGTTGTACTGCTGCATGCTCTTGGTCTGGATTCGCACCTTTTACACGGAGTTGTTTAATATGCCATCTTTACTTCTTTATGCTCAAACTACAGCTAACAATGTAACTAAAAGAATGACACAAACCACTGTCGGCTTTCAAAAAAAAAAAAAACACCATCTTGATAAAAAAAACGAGTATCCTAGACATTTGTTGAACATTATTTTCTCGTTAATAATTACTTTTTAAACTAGCAGTGCCACTCCCTAATTAATAACCGTGCTGTTTTTCTTAAAGTAGCGGTTATCTTATTTGTGTTTTCGTCTTACCTTTTCAAACTTTTCTTATAACGACATCTAAATGAACGACAAATATTTGTTACGCTTTGTGCTAACATGGTATAACACCACAGCCATAAAAGATCGTCTACTAGTGATGTGTCGTTCGTGAGTGATTCGTTCAAAATGAACGAATCTTTCATATGACTCGGGAGTCCCGACTCATATGAAAGATTCGTTCATTTCGAATCACTCGCGAACGACACATCACTATTCTTTATTGTTTCACTTGGCAAAACATTGAGTGGACGATAGTGATGGGAAGACCGACTCTTTTTAAAGATTCGAATCTTTAAAAAGAGTCGGTCTTCCCATCACTATCGTCCACTCAATGTTTTGCCAAGTGAAACAATAAAGAATAGTGATGTGTCGTTCGCGAGTGATTCGAAATGAACGAATCTTTCATATGACTCGGGAGTCCCGACTCATATGAAAGATTCGTTCATTTCGAATCACTCGCGAACGACACATCACTATTCTTTATTGTTTCACTTGGCAAAACATTGAGTGGACGATAGTGATGGGAAGACCGACTCTTTTTAAAGATTCGAATCTTTAAAAAGAGTCGGTCTTCCCATCACTAGTTCACAGCGAAAGATTAGTTCACGGGGAAAGATTAGTTCACGGAGAATGATTCGTTCACAGCGAAAGATTAGTTCACAGCAAAAGATTAGTTCACGGGGAAAGATTAGTTCACAGCGAAAGATTAGTTCATAGAGAGTGATTCGTTTGCAATGAAAGATTAGTTCACAGTGAAAGATTAGTTCGCAGTGAGTGATTTGTGAGTGATTCTTGAGTTCAATATGAATAAATATTTTATATGACTCGGTAGTCACGAGTCACGAGTCTTTCATATGACTCGGGAGTCACGACTCATATGAAAGATTCGTTCATTTCGAATCACTCGCGAACGACACATCACTATTCTTAATTGTTTCACTTGGCAAAACATTGAGTGGACGATAGTGATGGGAAGACCGACTCTTTTTAAAGATTCGAATCTTTAAAAAGAGTCGGTCTTCCCATCACTATCGTCCACTCAATGTTTTGCCAAGTGAAACAATTAAGAATAGTGATGTGTCGTTCGCGAGTGATTCG